GTCAGTACTTCAGGATTGATCAATATTCAGATCTATACCATAGTTTGTGAACTCTATAACTTTCCTACAAACTAAAAAATACATCCTAATTTGGGTTATTTTCACCAAATACATGTAGTAGAATACATCTTGGCCTAAATTTATGAACAACAATTATTTATTTGCAAACTTTTATAACAGAAACAAAGAAAAACGTGTTTTTTTTTTCAAAATTTTCGTTCTTTTTTTGTTAATTTAGCAAAACATATAAACCCTGGCGGTGATTAAATACCACCAAAAGAAAGCTCTAGTTGTGTGAAGAAATTGATAAAATTTTAGTTTGGGTACAATGTTGTATGACTGCGCAATTGTCATTCAAAGTGTGAGAGCGCTGAATCCTGAAAAATGGCCTGGGAGGGAAGGGGGGGTAAAAGTGCCCAGTATGGAAATGGTTAAAAAATGCGCTTAGCTCAATGACAAAATTTGATACATGAGTTTCTTTGGTGTGTTTTTTGGAATGGAGGTAAGCCATTCAAAATGAATGGTGCCATTCCAAAAATGCACTACAAAAACACACACAAAAAAATGTGAAAAACGTGATGCGGAGGGATCGTTCAGGTGTGAATGGGACCTTAGGATTAGGGTTGGAGTTAGTAAGCTTCATTCGGGCATTATTATTATACAGTATTTATATAGCGCCAAAAGGTTTGCTCAGCGCTGTGCATTATAGTGGGGAACAGAACATGAGACAATACAGTAACAAAACAAAAACACGAGGGGTTCGAGGGCCCTGCTCTTTCGAGCTTACAATCTAGAGCAACATAGAGCTGTAAAAGTTGTGCTTCAGCTACGACAGTCTATTATTACCAGTCATATTTTTGTTTTTTGATGGCAGTTCAAGAGCTAGCAAGGCCAAGCAATGCCAAGCAATTTCCCAAAATATACGAATGAGAGGTAAAAGCACATTCTGGTTCTGTAATTTATCTCTACCAAGATCCAGCATTTTGTGAAAGCTGTCCAGCAAGCAAAAAAAATGCAGATTTCAGAGCCCTGCCCATGTTATCAGATAGGAGGAGTGAAACGTAGCAAGGGACACGCTGTGCTGCTTCTAACACTTTCTTAGAAAGGGGCAAGGGACAAGGAACAGTCATCAGGACTTTTGTAAGGTACTGTACTGAAACTACACTTTTTTTTAATATCAATGCATTTACAGTGCTCATAATAAAGCCCTGCATGCAGATTTAAAGCAGTTTTAAGCCCAAATCCAAAAATATAACATATTTTAACTGTTCAGTCATTAGATGTGGTGGCTGCATTCATTTTTTAGGCTTTTTTTTCCTTTGCTTTCACCTGGTGATCTAGCCAGTAACCCACTTCCTGTATTAGAGTGCCCCCATTCTGGATGAAGGAGCATAGGGGGCACCTTTGAAGCTAAATTGAAGCCAAACTCCAGCTCACACTTTAGAATCAGTTACAGCAGACAGTTTTTCTCTTTTATATAAATCAATAAAAGCTGATCATTGTAAGCACTCCTGTCAGTGTTAAACGATTTGTCTCATCCCTGCTGAACCAACCAAATTTCAATCCACGTATGACCAGCTTAGGTCTGTTGCTTTTAAAAAAGAACAAGCTCTCTTCCAGATGTATCAGTTTATAGGGATGTGACATGTATGAGCACCCTGGTTGTACAGAAGTTGATCCACCAGCCTGTCAAGTTTTTTTCTAATTGATCAGTGCCTCTGGCTATAGCTGGCAGCACTTCTCATTGTATTCTGATGGTGGGGAAGGATACACAGTGGGAGCACAGTAGGAGTGGTTCCCCCATCCACCTCAAATGTGTGGATGTGGGAATCAGATCATTTTTTTTTTTCTCGCTCAATCCATTGGTTGAACAAAAAATGGTTAATATATGGGCTGCAATATAATAAATGTTTGATTTTGGGTTCAATACTGCTTTGAAGCAAAATGAATGCATTTAATAAATATTAAAATAATACTTTTTGTTTATATTGTAATTCTATAGCTTACCCTAGGAATATATTTTTGATATAACTGAAATAGGAAATGTCAGTATTGCACAACAGTGGCAAATCAAAGCACTATTTCTTTTCATTTCCACTGTGCTAGTGCAGTTTCAACTCCTTTACTGTCTTTTTGTTTTGTGGACACATAGTAAAATGCATTTCTTTACACAAAATGCATCTCAACACCCCCCCCCCCCCCCCCCCCAGTGACAGTGATATGGATTCTGAAAGCAGAGACCCTTTAGAATAAAATGGTGGCAAAATCTAAGTAATAAACTTGTGTCAATAAAACAGATACTAAATACTTCTGGACCTGTGAACAACAAAAAGCTAGTACCCAAAATTGTCCAAAGGTGACAATTGAAAAGCCTTTTTACAGGTCATTAATTTAAAGCTACCTATGAATGATGGTGATAGAAACTATTCTTGCCACTCCCATAAGTGTATGCATGTACACCAGCGTGTTTGTTTTGTTTGAATTCATGTGTACGGGGCGGTATTTAGAATTTTTTTTTTTTAAATAAAAGTTTGACTTTTAAAACGTATTACATTTACTTTACTGCTATCATTTGTTTTTGGTGCACACATACTAAAATGCATTTCTTTACACAAAGTGCATCTCACCCCCCCAAAAAATATGGATTCTGAAAGTGGAGACCCTTTAAACCTAAAATTGTCCAATGGTGACACTTGAAAAGTCTTTTTGCAGGTCATCAATTTCAAGCTACCTATGAATGATGGTGACAGAACTAGCAGAACTATTCTTGTCACTCCCATATGTGTATGCATGTACACCAGCCTTGCGTGTTTATGTTTGGATTCACGTGTACACGGGGGGAAGGGGGGGGGGCAGTATTTAGATTTTTTTTTTTAAATAAAAGTTTGATTTTTAAAACTTTTTTCTTTTACTTTACTGCTACCACAAGGGTGCTGTTAAGCCTTCCCTCTTGCCTAAAATGTTTGTGTATGTTTGGGGAATGGATCAGGTGGGTGGGGTTGCACCTTTCTATACTGTACATGTAGGAGTGACTATCCCTAGGTAAAATAACTCATGTCAAATGTTTTGGAACAGAGAGGGTGAAAACCTATTGGTGGCACAGGATATTAGGGAGATATCTGTCAACACTTTGATGATTTATGTTAAAATAATTCATTTAAAAAATACAAAAATATTTACATGTTAATAGCAATGCCCAGAATACTATAAAATAAATAATCACACCCAAACATATCTGTCTATTCTCTCCATGGACTAGATGAACTAGACAGATGATATTACACTGATGCAGAGTTCCATATATTTATCCTACGTTCATGCTAAAGTTTACAATCACATCAAAGCTCAGTATGACATACTGAAGCAGCTCCTAAGGTCCTATCACACTGGCATTCTGCTTTTTGCATCAGTTCAGTCACGTTTTTTCCATGAAAAAAAACGGATCAGTTTACATCAGTTTACATCTGTTTTTCATCAGTTTACATGCATTTTTTTTACATCCTTTACCAATCCAAAAATGGACCATATATCCATTTACATCACTTTTTCATCCGTTTACATCCATATTTTGTCCATTTTTTTCCGTAAGAAAAATAGGGTTTCCAGAAAAACAGATGATAATGGATGCGGACATTAACAGATATAAACAGATGATCATCCGTTTACATACTCTAGTCCATAGAAATACATGGGTGTTCATTTTTCATCCGTAAACGAACATATGAAAAACAGACCTTGTGAAAGGTATTTTTTTCTTCTTCTTTGTACAATCCGGGAAAGAGATCTCTCTTATTCTACTCCCTGAATTGGTGTTTCCTTTATCTCACCTGTAAATATAAGAGCCAATTGTGGTTCTATTAACCGCTTCCGTGCTGCCCTATAGCAGAAATACTGCTATAGATACGTGATTTTGCACTTCCGGGTAGGAGGCACACGTGCACCCTACCCGCGCCGTCATTCCCCGCCGGCACCTGGCAATCTCCGAGTATTACCGACTGGGGAAAGAACTATATGTAAACAATACAAATCTCTCCCTTGTCAGCTCCTGCACACTGCTTTGTATGCCTCTGCATAGCAGTGTGCTTACAATGAAACACACACACAACCCACATAGTAAAACAGCGCACAGCACATAGATAAACCTTTGCTCGCCCCAGATGTTAACCCCTTCCTGCCCAGTGTCATTAATACAGTGTCAGTGCTTTTTATTAGCATAGATCACTGTATTGGTGTCACTGGGGATGTCAGTGACACCAAATCAGTTACCCTCAGTTTCAGAATGCCTGCTGCAATCCCTCTATAAGACGCTGATCACCGCCATTACTAGTATACAGTATATACCGCCATTTGTAAACACTATAACTTTTACGTAAACCAATTAATTTACACATAGCAGAATACATTTTGGCCTAAATTTATAATGAAATGTAATTTTTTTTAAAAAAATTTTAAAAAACATTTTTTAATAGCAAAAAGTAAAAAATATAGTTTTTTTTTTAAATTGTCGCACAGGCGATCAAATATCACTGAAAGAAAAGCTCTATTTGTGGGAATAAAATGACGTAAATTTCATTTGGGTGCAGCGTTGCATTACCACGCAATTGTCAGATAAACGAATGCAGCGCCGTATCACACAAAAAATGGCCTGGTCAGGAAGGGGGGTAAATCCTCTGGAGGGCAAGTGGTTAATATGAGTGCAGCCTCTGATTCTTTATGGCTGACAGCCAGGACAGATGTAAATTAAAGGAAGACTCCATAAGGTTGTCTGGTGGCACCTGATTAGAATGAACTGCGAAATTTGATGTGCAGCCAGGGACTCATGTGCTAGATTGCAACATATGTGAAAATATATCTTGACAGATATCTTGTCTTTTTTAACACGTTAATGTAAGGTCAATGCTACTCATAATATAAAAAAGTACATTTATTAGTTGTCTGATTTTAGCATTTTTTTTACATGTCTATTTTGCTGATATTTTTCTTGTTACAGCTTAAAAGAAATGGGACAGCAGCAATCAGCAAATGTACAGTCAGAGGAGATTGATGAGGCTGCTGTATTGGTGGCACAAGTAGAAGACTTCAAGACATCTAAGACACTAAGAACCACAGTGAATGATAGAGAAATTGTGGTATTTCATCACTTGGGGAAATACCACGCCTTAGATCTCCGCTGTTATCGTAAGCAATATATATACTTAATATACATATGTACTCACACATACAAAGTCACTCTCATTGAATATCAAGTATGACTTTAATATGTCTTTTGTGTTTTGCAGATTCAGGAGGGCCATTACACCTTGGAGAGATTGAGGTATGTCCCTTCCTTAAAACACTATAGGCTAAATTTACAAAGCTTTACACAAGGATAGGCATTTTCAAATCTCATTGGATTCAGTTGAAAATAACTTACTTCTATGAAAATACGAATCCATATCCAATGTTTTAGCTCTGTGAAATGTACCTTATTAATTTTTTTAAATCTGTAGCTTCATATATTTTGCCACAGGCATCAAATGTCAGTTGGACATGAAGACACAATCTGATTATTCATAGATCTTTCTTTCCATTGATATTTGCAATTTGCATTTGTATGTGAATAGAGGAGGGCACCTGCTTATCTTTGTGGAATGGGGATGTCTCCTGGTGTCCAAAGATTATGGGTTTTATATCTCCTCACAGAGATGACCATCTCCTGTTTGTGACCAACTTAAAGCAGAGCTCCACCCAAAAAGGGAAGTTATGCTTTAAGCCTTTGTCCCCCGCTATTCATTAAGGATTGGCACCTTTGGGGAGTGAGTACCCTAATTTGCCAGGTACGCGCTCCCACTTCCGCTGCGATCGGCTAGGTGATCGGAAGTGGAAGTTGTTCTCCCCCCTCCCTCCCTGTAGTCTTCTGGGACACGTGACAGGTCCCAGAAGACTACAGGACTATTCAAAACGTTTCTCGCGCATGGCTAATGGGCACCTGGCTGTGGAGCCGCAAGCTGTCACAGCCAGGTGCCCAAACTGAAGATGCCAGTGAAATCAGCTGTGGTGAAGACACCGCTGGACTGAGGGACAGGTAAGTGTCTGTATTTTAAAAGTCAGCAGCTACAGTTTTTTGTAGATGCTGACTTTTTTAGTTTTTTTTTTTTTTTAGGTGGAACTCCACTTTAAGAATGTGGCATAATGCTAATGTTCGTACATTATAATGCTGTAGATCACCATTCATATCGTAATTATATAGTTTACATGAGTTAGATTTGAAAACAATGAAAATGCTACTTCAAGCTTAAAGCAGTATTAAACCCAAAAGCAAACATTTTTATTATATTACAGCTTATCAATGCTAGCCATACACTAGTCGAAAACTTGGTTGGATGTGTTTTCAAAAAATGAACACACGGTGGTGAGAGCAAATGATATTGACATTATGTAATGACCGAATTACGAACAATACATCGTTCAATAGACATAAACAAATCAGATTTTTGTCCGTTTTTTGCTTCTGGGTCACATATGCACAGAACCAACAGTTCGATTTTTTGTGAGAAACACATTATTATTTCAATTTATCGTCTGTTTAGCATATTTTTTCCAAACTATTCCTTCGATACTTTGGCTCAAAAACATCACTGCTGATTTTTGATTTGTGCCCACTTGCCCTCCAGAGGATTTACCCCCCATCCCAATACATATAAATTAATTATTTTACGTGAAAAATAGTGTCTACAAATGGCAGAATATATACTGGAATTTTTATTTTATATTTTTTTTTATACTAGTAATGGCAGTGATCAGCGACTTATAGTGTGATTGTGGGACTATGGCATGCATTCTGATGCTGGGTGGGAACTGACTAACTGCCACTGACATCCCCAGTGACGCTAATACAGTGATCATTGCTAATAAAAAGCAATGACACTGTACTAATGATACTGGGCAGGAAGGGGTTAACATCTGGGACTATCAAAGGGTTAACTGTGTGCTCGGTATGTTTTATATTATGTGCTTTGTGTGTTTTACTACAGAGACATGCTGCTTTGTATTTCTCTGCTGTGCAGAGAAATACAAAGCAGCATGTCCTTGCTGGCAGGAGAGACCTGTGTTGTTTACACACAGGTCTCCCCCCTGTCAATTTTACCCGACGATCGTGAACCCGGTGATTTACATCCCTAGACGCCTACTATAGGGCAGTGGGCAAGTGGTTAACTGGATGCAAAACAAATGAACTGTCTAAATTACACATTTTTGAGCTTTTTTTCATCTAGTGTATGGCCACCATTAGATGTGATGGCTGTATTAGTTTTTTGTTTTGCTTTTCTTCTATTTTCATCTAATGATCCAGCCAGCAACAGCTTTCCAAAGGCGGGGAGAATAAAAGAATCAGCTTTTATTTACTTACATAAAACCTTTATCCCAAAAGAAAAAAAATGTTTGCTGTATTTTATTATAAAGTGTTAGCTGGAGTTTGGCTTCAATTTGTTATTTGTATTCAAATCTACTAAAATCTGATCCATTGGAATATTTTCCATCAATCACTGGCCACAGCCAATCAGCTGCAGCTGCTGATCAGTATATTTTAATAGCGACAGGTGCTTCTGTCAGGCGGGGGAGAGTCCTCATCCACTTTATTCAAGTGGATGGAGGAATCTTTTCCCACTGGATGAACGAGAAAAAAAAAACTGTACTCAGCCAGCTTAAGGTAGTGAAAGAGTAAATCTGAGGGGAAGCTCTGTAATGTGGGGAAGCTATGTTGCTTTCTATCATCCAATCATGTGCAAGCAAAAATGCTGTCTTTTATTTTCGTGGCATGTGATTGGGTATTCTTTGCAAAGTGAAGCTTTATCTCATTTGCAAAGCTCTGGAGCAAGTGCACTTGTAGTGCACGGTATAATGGCCTTTAGTAAATCAACTCCAATGTAGAAACCAATAACAATTATACAGACTTGGTTGTCACAGGTTATTGCACTTTGAAAATTGATATTTGCTTTAATAATCAACCCATATAGCTTTAAAGAGACCATTTATTTCATTAATAATTTTCCCATATGTCCATTTGCATTCATAACAAGCCTTCTAACTTTTCCCAGTGTTCCAGTGGTGGATGAAATCAGGGGAAAAAAGACACCACATTTAGAGGCTTGGAGGATTGGTGCTGCCCCCTTTGACTTTGCTGTTCTAGTCTTTGCCCTTATGGTAAATAGGGGTCAGTATATTTTTGGTAAGTATCATTAACACTGCCTCTTTCAAGCCCAATTCTAGCCAAAATATTTTCATTTTGAATAGAACATGGTACGATTGGAACCTCTGTTTAGTTTTCATTGCAGTCTGTGTTCCTACTGGGGAGATATGCCTTAGCTTCAAAAAGAGATGGTAAATCTTTCCATCTGCAAAATAGACTGTTAGATTGTAAGCTCCAAGGAGCAGGGGCCTCCTAACCCTCTTGTATTGAACAATATTGTTGCTGTATTGTCTCCCATTATATTGTAAAGCGCTGAGCAAACTGTTGGCGCTATATAAATACTGTATAATAATAATAATAATAGACTGCAAAAATGTAAAGCAGTTAAATAAGGAAGGGTTAGATCCTATGACAGGTTATTATAACATTGTCTTTCTACTCCAGTGACAACCACTCCCATCATTTCCTGTGCTGTTGTCACAGAGGCAAAAAAAACCCCCAAAAAACAAAAACAAAATAACACAGTTTCAATAATTTGCATTAAAAATAGAAGTTTTAGGTACATACATATGTTAAAATAGGCAAATATGTACACTATATTTAATAGTGGATGAAGCGCTCAGCCATGAGGGTAATGAACTAATTAAACTAAATAGATAAATAAAAATAAATACATAATAAATAATATATATATATATATATATATATTTATAAAGTGACCAGTGCTCCAAATAAATGTGCAAACAAGAATTACTAAAAATATATAAAAATTCCAATATATAAATATTTATAAAGTGAAGGTGACAGGTGCTTCAAATCAATCAATGTGTAAAACCAAAGCAAACGACCAGTTACACATTGATTGATTTGAAGCACCAGTCACCTTCACTTTATAAATATTTATGTATTGGAATTTTTATATATTTTTATTAATTCTTGTTTGCACATTTATTTGGAGCACTGGTCACTTTATTATATATATATTATTTATTATGTATTTATTTTTATTTATCTATTTAGTTTAATTAGTTCATTACCCTCATGGCTGAGCGCTTCATCCACTATTAGATATTTCTTTCATCCCGAGGTATAGGGTATAGATCAGGGGTGGGCAACTGTGGCCCTCCAGCTGTTGGTGAACTACAAGTCCCATCATGCCTCTGCCTTTGGGAGTCATGCTTGTAACTGTCAGTTTTGCAATGCCTCATGGGACTTGTAGTTCTACAACAGCTGGAGGGCCACATTGCCCACCCCTGGTATAGATGATAGCTGCTGGTCTTGTTTAGTTACTCTGTGGAGCGCAGGAGGACATCCCTATAATGTACACTATATTGCCAAAAGTATTGGGATGCCTGCCTTTACACACACATGTACAGTGGGGCAAAAAAGTATTTAGTCAGCCACCAATTGTGCAAGTTCTCCCACTTACAAAGATGAGAGAGGCCTGTAATTGGCATCATAGGTAGACCTCAACTATGAGAGACAGAATGAGAAAAAAAATCCAGACAATCACATTGGCTGATTTGGAAATAATTTATTTGCAAATTATGGTGGAAAATAAGTATTTGGTCACCTACAAACAAGCAAGATTTCTGGCTCTCACAGACCTGTACCTTCTTCTTTAAGAGGCTCCTCTGTCCTGCACTCATTACCTGTATCAATGGCACCTGTGTGAACTTGTTATCAGTATAAAAGACACCTGTCCACAACCTCAAACAGTCACAGTCCAAACTCCACTATAGTGACGACCAAAGAGCTGTCGAAGGACACCAGAAACAAAATTGTAGACCTGCACCAGGCTGGGAAGACTTAATCTGCAATAGGCAAGCAGCTTGGTGTGAACAAATCAACTGTGGGAGCAATAATTAGAAAATGGAAGTCATACAAGACCACTGATAATCTCCCTCGATCTGGGGCTCCACGCAAGATCTCACCCCGTGGCGTCAAAATGATCACAAGAACGGTGAGCAAAAATCCCAGGACCACACGGGGGGGACCTAGTGAATGACCTGCAGAGAGCTGGGACCAACGTAACAAAAGCTACCATCAGTAACACACTACGCCGCCAGGGACTCAGATCCTGCAGTGCCAGACGTGTCCCCCTGCTTAAGCCAGTACATGTCCGGGCCCAGCGACAGCCCCAAAAC